CCATATCATGTCAAAAGTCACTGTTTAAGGTCAAAGGTCACCGGTAAAGGTCAAATGTTTAAATATGAATTAATACTTTTCAGAGTGGAAATTTGAGTAATTAGCGAATTTTAAAATTATTTATTATGCACTAATTATTAATATTACTTTATATTATTGCCATAATTATTGTTAACTATTATTATTATTATTAATTTCATTACTAAAATTGACAAAAAAAATTACACAGAACTACATTTTTTTTTTTTTTTTTTTTTTTTTTAATTACACAAGGCAGCAATCATTTATCAAATGTTTTAGAGGTTCTGAAAAGAACCGTTTGTTTTGGAAAGCGTTGCTCATCATTTTCATTTTTCTTTTTTTCCAGATTCTCCAGTGATTTCGGTCAGATCTCAGTATCTTCTTCCGAAATCTTTTCAATGATGTTTCGTCTATTTCGACCCCAATAAAACACTAAGACCGATGTTTTCAATGCGTTACTGGTTAACTTTATTTCTTCCAACATAACAGTACAAAAGATACCATTTCCAACCAACAGTACGGTACATATGATACGCCGTCTAACAACGTAACAATATACAGTCTAACCAACGTCACGATTGAACTACAAAATAGTAACAATAGATAATAAATAACGATAATCATCAATCAATCAATAACTAATCATATTAACAATTAATAAAACTTACGAATTGGTCCTCATATCCCATAATGACATGCAAGGCCTATATTAAAAATACATGCTAAAACAATCATCTGAACTTCCAAATTATATTATAATTAAGTATATATATATATATCATATTTAAGTCTACTTACAAAGTGTGCTCGGCTTAGGATCGATAAAACAGATGAATCTTAAAACCAAACCAAAAGATACTTTCGTATGATTCTCTACGCACGCACGTATAAACCATACGCGCGTTTGACGTAGCAACAAGAATGCGAAATTTATTTTTATTTTTTATTTTATTTATTTATTTAGGCACACAATACATGTGCCAAGGATTGTTATCACTATCCTACTTGTAGGTGACAATCCCTTACACAAGACAAACATACACACACGATGCTTTACACAAACTAAATCTCCATATGAGATTTAGGGAGTGGAGTTGTTTTGGTCGTGAGAAAAAATCCTGCAACTGGCAGGAATTGAACCCAGGACCCTGGGATTGGAAGGCAAGCATCTTAACCACCAAGCTATTCAACTCCACTTAAAAATAATGCAAAAGAAGTAAAATGGCCATAACAATAGTCCTAATTAATGTAATACTGAGATTACAGTATTAATACAATTTGTTTTATAGAACTATGCCTACAGTTAATATTATTCATTTCTTAAAACATAAATTGTCAATAATATGAGTTTAACCCATTCATATCTATGCTTTAAAAATATAATTATTTTTATTAATTAGTAAATAATAATTAACCAAAATTATTTCTACAAGAATAATAAAATTATGTTTGTTAACAATTGGAAGACAATATTTATGTAAATATGCTGTTATATAGTTTTTATTAGGGAAAAAATTATTTTAATTTATTTATTTCTACAAGAGTAATAAAATTATGTTTGGTAATAATTGGAAGACAGTAAAATATTTTACCTAAATAAGCTGTTGTATAGTTTTGTGAAATTATTAAAACAAAAAAATAATTGATTTTTATAAATAAGTTTCTGATTTTTTATCTAAAATAATACTTGACAATTACAAACGTTTATAATTTGTTATATACTTATATTAGATTTCATAATAAACATCAAATTTATATTAGGCTAGATTTCATAATTATTATAAACTTATAAACTGATAGATTCTACGTAAAATAGATAGAAATCTCCTAACTCTACACTA